GAAAGGCCCGGAGACCTAAGTAAATTCCTGCCCTAACCATTGTTTTTCTATACAACTGTGATAAAGACATTAGGACTGCAAGTTGTTGTCAGGTGCTGGGATTGATGAGAATTGTCCAGTGTTTTCTGTAAATAAACTACTTTATAGAATGCCAGGAAATGTCATTCAAAAGCTCTGATAAGGTGGAAAGGGGTATTGTCAGAAAGCCAGAGCCAGAGTTCGAGTGTCGCCGTCTGCGCATGCGCAGGCGCCTGTTGTGGACCATAGAGCCATAATAGAAGCAGTGTCTTTGCAAGGACGTGCGCAAGGACGTGCGCAAGGACGTGCGCGTCACGCTCACGTTCGTGCACGCCGCGCGTGTTTGTGCGCACATGCGCACGAGCGCGCGCCGACGTGTCATTTGAACAATTGGCGCCAAGTGGGCTATAAAGGCTGTGTTCAGCTATCCTCCTATGCTGTCAGAGCATCAGCTTCCTGTGTTCTGTGTTCCTGTGTTTTCTGTAGCCTGATTACCCGTTACTGACCCGGCTTGGACTACTCTCTGTTGTTGCTTGCTCCCTGAAGACCCCGGCTTGTTTTTGACCTTGATTCTGTCTCACCCCTTGTACTGCGTTGCCAGCTCTTGGATGACCTCGGCCTGCTCGACGATCCTTCTGCCTTGTGTGTTCTGCTTCCAGCTTCCTCAGCTCATCGGATCTAAAGCCTTCTGGATCCTCTTCGGTGCATCCGCATCCTGCTTCCTGCTTGCTGCTTGGATCAGCGCATTTCCATCTCATCTCACAGACGCAACAGGCTAACCAGCCGTTGGCACCCTTGCCCCTCTGTGCCCCGGTGCCCCTGTAACGAATCCAGGTGCTCCAGGACCGGAGCTGTGAGAGAGGCCGCCCTCGTCAACTCTGACTCCCCTAAGGTACGTGACAGGTATAGTGTAAGTTGCACATTTATTTGTGGCCAAGATATGCCTACCTTTGAGGCTTTCTTCACTAGATATGATGCTTTAAAATCTAAGACCTTCCTGCTACTGACCTGATGCTAACATCTTGAATTAGTGAGCCCTATTGAAATCAGAGCCGATTTATTGACTTCACACTGAGTAGCAAAGCAGAATGTAGGAACGAGAAGAATGTTAGGACAATGAAAGAAAAAAATAGGAAATATAAAAGTGGCCCCAGGGGCTGTGGTCAGTGTTAAATACATGTCTCTCTGGGGCTGTTTAGCAGTTTTTATTTTGGTTTGTCTCCAAGGTTCCAAGCTGCCTGCTGTTGCATGGAAGATTTACCTTTGTTTCTGGACAGATCTTCAATCAGCTGAGCGTTGGATTGGTAATAGAACATTCAGGGTGAAAAAAGCTGGCCAGTAAGTGTGACTTTTTACCTCTACAGTCACTGCACAGTTACCTCAGGAGTGGCTTATCTTCAGCCTCCCTTTTGGATCTTTTGACCTGCTTCCCCTGCCCACCCTTCCATTTGCTCTATTTTCCCTTGCCGTGGTCATTCTTTTTGTTGTAATCATGGCCACTTTGTGGGTGGACAGTGGTTAGTAAACGGTAATTTGGTTGGTGTAAGTTATTGGTGCTTGAGTCTGGAAGAGCACGCATTGGGGTCTTTTATTGGTTAACAGTAGAACTGATTGGTTAGAAAGGTTAAAGTCTACTGTAACAATAGACATAGTGACCCAGGCGGGCGCTATGGGGCCCGGGCACAGGGGAGCCCGGCCAGGACACCCCCCTGATGCCGTGCGGGCCGCCTGGGTCGCTGTGGGTTCGAACACGCCGCTGTTCAGATCGCCGTGATCTGTGCAGCACTGCGTTCTTCTCCATAGCCGCTGCTGAGTCAATGAGAGTCAGCAGCGGCGTTGGAGGAGACTGGACGTGGCGAGGAGGAGGAGGCGGGGCCCGGGAGGTCAGCATCAGAGAAGGAGGCAGGGCCGGTGACGGAGGAGGAGGCGGGCCCGGCGACGGAGGATGGAGCAGGGAAGACGGAGGAAGAAGAGGCGGACAGGTAAGGAGTGTGACCAGCCCACCTGAGGGTGACCTGCAGAGCCCACCATAGATAATCTATGGTGGGCTCTGCAGGGTCACCCTCAGGTGACCTATGTGGGCTCTTCAAGGGATGTAACTAGAAATCACAGGGCCCCATACAAAATTTTGCTATGGGGCCCTGTGATTTCTAGTTACGCCCCTGATCTCATAGTTAAAATTGATTTAAACCCAATAAAGTGGCCATGGCCTATGGTTTTTCCACAACCTTTATTATGTATTTACTTGATTATTTAGGTAGATTGTTATGGTATGATCTGTATTAATAAGGTGTACAATCTCATTAACGTAGTACATAAACATTATGGGGAGCCATAAACTGCTGCAGCATATTTATTAAACCCTGCAGCAGCATATTTATTAAACCCTTTTAGGAGTACCTCTGTAAATACATGAAAACATTACTTTAGTTTCATTGAGAAATAAAATAATTTTTTGTTTGATGGATTCTACAAGCTGCTAACATTAGCAAAGATACATACAGGTACAATATCAGATTTATGCATAGTGAACATAGGTTGGGTCTAGTACAGCAGGGTTGCCTGATGTAGCACACAGGCACCCATACATCATGTTGCTGATTGTGTCTGTATATCTAAAACAACCCCTAGCAGAAAAGGAAGATTTAGAATGGGAACATTTTTTGCCTCTCTGCCCACTGTTGACATGCCTTGATTGGCTTTTGTGTGTGATCCTGTCATTTTAGTTCTAAGACTAACCAGCTGAGAGGGGTAGGTGGGGGCCATAAAGGACATTTGACCTGAGGGGACCAAGGCCACGTTCATGTAAGAAAGTGCCAGGTCTTTTGATCTAATTTTAACAACACTTCATCCGTGTAAGCACCACTGTACACTTCTACTACTGTGCCTGATAAATGTATAAATATGCCAGGGTTAAATCTGAGCATAGTGTTGCCAATTGGTCCCTACAGGAAGCAAAAATGAAGGTTCATAGATGACCCAGGGAGCTATTTGGAATCCATGACCATGTAGGCAGAGGAAAAGATGTATTAAAAGAACACATTTTTACTTGCTCATTTCAACAGCATGATTAGGTTTACCACAGCATAGGTTAAACATTTCTCCAAGAAATAAGCTTCAATATCTATTTTCTGGGGATGTAGAAATATTTTTTTTTTGTTTAGTTTGCCATATAACACAGACTTCTTCTTTACATAAATTGTTTTGTATACAAAAAAAAAAGATTCTTTAGAAAAAGAAAACTTTGTCTGGTGTAATATCTAAAAAAGTAACAGGTAAAAGACTTGTCTGCCAATAAATATACCCAGCTAAAAAACATAGAAAGAAGCATATAAAACTATGTATTTATTAATCATGGCAGGGATACCTCGAAGCCAATATATTAGGTGCAAAGAATTGAAAAACCATGCAACCCTGTGCTGAAAAAATATTCATACCTAAATATGTTATTTCTGCTTTCAGATGAGCAGTATAATAATTCCTGCTCATTTGAACTATGGGATATTAAAGAGCTTATCTTGCATAAGGAAGCTCTTTTTATTATTTTAGAAAAAAAAAATGCAAAGTTGTATGGAAGCAGCAAAGCTGTCAGAAAAGTCAATATTAATACCGTGATCAAACGAGAAGTGTGAACTCAGTTGCACTGATCCAAGTGTGAATTCCAAGCTCCCCGCTGCCCTCTCCTAATTTATTGAGTTTAAAATAGCCAAGCTTTTCGCTGTATCTTAGCTTTAACAGAATCATTCCAATTTCATCACAATAACTTGCATCCTATCCCTCAACATGAAATGAAGTCCTTGCAACATCATTTATGCAGAGCTGTCCTTCTGTATGACAGACATGACAGCAAACCTAGAGGTCTTATCCATCCATCATTTCTCACACTGATAGAGTTAACAAACCAGAAGAGAAGTTTTCTCTGTATCCTATAACATCAGTCGCTACAGTAGGAACAAATCAAATTGAAGGTCAATATATGAAAAAAATCTCTCAAGGGGCATTAGTGCTGGCTGTTGGAGGTATGCTTTTTTTCTGACTTCATGTCTGGATTTAAAATTTCCTGTGAGGCTTTGCATTTTAATTTCTCTCAGTGCCAGCAGTTGATACCTTGTTGACTTTTTTCCCGATTTCTCTTCTGCATTTTGAATATACCTCATGCAGGTTTACCAAATGTCCTTTTGCAATGAAAACAGCGGTAACTAGTTAGAAGGAAAATTAGAAATTTCCAAACAAAAAGGTAAATATGGAAATGGTGGCATATAAAATCAGTTAAGATGCCCAATGTTGAACCCATGCAGAGATTTTTTTGCATCTAAGGCTGAATAATTTATTCACTTTTATACAGAGAAAGCATATGGTTGTCTGAACTCTTTGCCTTTAACTTTTATTTTCCCTGGCATACGAAAAAAGCTTAGTCTAGCCAGGGGTGAAACTAGATATTGCTAAGCCCCACAGCAACATTTTCAAGAGCACCCCATGCTCAACTAATCTTATAATATATCTGCTGTAATTCGAGAGTATTCATTTTTTTCCCAGACGGTTTTACATGTACAACTAGATGGGACAAGTATAATATGAACAAATATTGTGTTTTTTTTAACTAAAGTTAGTTGAGTGTTGATGGAAGGGCAGTGGTGATATGCAGAGATGCCTGTGGAAGACAGAGGATCAGAAGAGCAATGCTTCAATAAGTGAATATTTTAGTTCACTTATTGACAGATAAAATATACCTAAGGCTTTTTGTGGCCCTAATGTGGCCACTTCCTCAGGATGGTGTGCAATATGCTGTTTTTGTTTTGCAGCAGTTTAAGGACTTCTAGCTGGGTGATAGCGTATCTGTGTACACTATCACATGCATACCAATAAAATATCCACTTATTGAAGCATTGATCTTCTGCTCCACTGTCTTACATGGGTGCCTGTGCATATCACTGCTGTCCATTTTTTGAGACCATCAAACCTCAACTTTCTTCTACACTGACCTCTGAACGCATGATCTTCCATATCTCTCCACCAGCATCCAGTGTGATCTTCTCTGCATGGAAACAGACATATTCTCTACAGGTTTTTCATTCAGGTTGTCTGCTCCCTTGCACAGATGTTCAGCAACCTTCCAGATGTGAGTAACCACAAACCATTTTTTTCTGAGAAATTATCTCCCTGCTTTCAACTACTACACCTTATAAGATATCTCCCTATCTTTTGGATTCCCAGCAATTTAGTAAAGTAGTACATTTCAGCTTAGTATGTGTTAGTAGATGTTCACTTTCCTAAGTAGGGAAATACAAATAAAATTCCCTTAAATGTAATAGGGTTTCTTGATGTAAATGCAAGATAGGGTAACGATTTAATAAATAAGCCCCAGTAGCTCAGAGAACATGGGTGGCCATACACTGCCCAATATCTGTAAGCATTGTGACTAGTTTCTGTGTCACTTGTGATAGTTTGATCATTTAGATATTACCTTCTAATTGGTTAGTACATTCGTAAGCCACTTTTCTACACACAGATGCACTGTTTAGCAAGGTGAAGTGCAGTAAAGCGAAGTAGAAGGATAAGGCTTGAGTGTTCACCCAATCAAAAAGAGAAGATATAAGCTTGTCTTTAACTGCTGGATGTTTGAGCTGTCTGTCTAAGATCAATAGAAGAGGTTCCACTGATGATCCTGGGAGCAGACCAGTGCCATTATACTTTATAACATTATTATTTCTCATGAACTGAACTAGATATTTGAAACAAATATAAAAAACTTTTGTATATAAATATTAAAAAAATGTATAAGTAAAATAATTGACAAGAACTGCCCCATTTATTTCTACAGAACCTGGAGTCACATCTGCTCACTGCAGCACCAATGCCCGGCTGATAAATGTATTTAAGCACTGGCAAGTACTGGGGATTGCCTAAGGATTAGGTCTGCATTGCCTCTAAGATACTAGATTGAAGTGGGTGGGGAACCCTTTAGAGGCCTATGCAAATGACAAAAATAAGATATTTTCCCACATTAGTAATGGTGATGATAAAAAAAGAGTTCTTGCAAATGGTTATTTGCAATGTGTTTTTTTTTTATTATTTCAGCATATTGTATAACAAGTGACAAGTGCATTCACCAGCTCTGGGTGAGGGTAGGAACACTGAAATCCAGGCAAACACCTACATTTCTATAGGTGAGCTGTTTTACCTGCCAAAAGGAGTAGTATTTAATCCACCTAGTGGAGATTTACCAGATTCCCTATGCTGCAGGTCTGCAGGCCTGGTCCCTCCCTAAGCCTCTGACTGCACAGTGAAAGGAGAATCAGCTCATGGTGAGCTCATCTCTCTGTCATCTGTTCTTTCCTCATATCTGTTACATGTTAGCAAATTGCAGCAAAACTGCCTCCTTTTGCTGCTTCTTCCTCTCCATGTCCAAGCTCTACTGCACAGGGATTGCAAGAGGCTAACACCAAGTCAAAATCAGGTACTTATACTGCTTGCATTTAAAAAATCCTGGTCCAGGACGTTCATGTCATACAACAGATAAATCACAAGGTAACTAAAATAGGAAATTATCCTGCATATATTAAAGTAAAATGAGTTAAATGACCGGGTACAAAAATTATTTCAGTAACTAATTATGTATATGATATAGAGCTCAACTCTCTTAAGTCACAGATAAAGATGAACAAGAAGATATAGGAGCAAACCAGGATTCACTGTATTGCACAGTTATTTGGCTCTGCTTCAAATAAGAACAAAAAAAGAGTTCATATTAGGTTGGCCCAGGTGAAAGTAGTTTGAAAGACAGTTTACATAATTTAGGAAATTAATCTGCAATTTCTATGACATATTCATAGGTTTATTCATTGGTTTTAAATGAAGACAATTTACTTCATCCTGTGTCTTTCAGAAAGTTAGCCGAATATGCTTTATGAGGAGAAATTAAATCCATTGCTCTTATGTTTTCTTTTTTTTGCAGATTAGAAAACAAATCCTGATACTCTACTGAATAGAAAGTAAAACACTTAATGTCTGGCATTTTTGTGTGAGTCTACCTTTAAATAATACAGGTGAAACTCCAATAATTAGAATATCGTGCAAAGTTCATTTATTTCACTAATGCAACTTAAAAGGTGAAACTAATATATGAGATAGACTCATTACATGCAATGCAAGATAATTCAAGCCGTGATTTGTCATAATTGCGATGATTATGGCTTACAGCTCATGAAAACCCCAAGAACCCAAAATCCACAACCTCAAAAAAGTAGATTATTACATGCAATCAATAAAACAAGGATTTACATAGAACAATATCGGACCTCTGAAAAGTACAAGCATGCATATGTACTCAGTACTTGACTTGGGCCCCTTTTGCAGCACTTACTGCAATTACTTTTGCACGATATTCTACTTATTCGAGTTTCACCTGTATGTTTTGTCCAAAGGTAACAAGCACTTGACTCATTGGAAGAAGGGCCATGCCAAAAGTTTGAAGAAGGGAATCACACTCTTGGTTATAGGTGAAAGTATAAGGCAATTTATTTGTAAATAAATTAAAACACTTTTCAGGGAGCTGTGTTCGCCTTATCAGGGCTAAAAGTAGTTAATAAAACCATGTGTAAAAATATATATAGCTAAAATACTTTCAAACACTTGTCCTGCTTTGACAGGTACCCTTTAAATACATCTTCCTTAACCACCTCCTGTCCAGTGGCCGTACCTCAACGACTGGATGGGAGCCTTGTAGATGCAGGTGGGTGTTTTAAGGCATCCTTCCCTGCCCTAACTCATGCAGTGCTCAGCGCATGCACAATTGTGAAAACTATCATGAATGTAAAAAGCCGGCGATGGCTGTTTAAATACAAGTGTTCCAGTAGTTATAGAGCCACTGGATCACTTGTATTTTGTGTGCGTGTACGTCCCCCGCTGCCATCAATCCGAGATCCGCCGTGCCCAGTGCGGGCCGGTACCTGCACAGCGGCTCTGTCACCGGAGATCAGAGGGAAATCAGCACACAAACTCCCTCTGACCTCCTCTTCGGTGTCAGAATGCAGGAAGTGATGTACATTACATCACTTCTGCATTTAGCTGTTATTCCCGGCTACAGAAGCCGGAGAGAAACTGGTGAAGCAGATCTATGCTTCAGCAGCTTCTCTGGGGGTCCCTAGGTGACATTACAGGTCTTGGCGACCACCGATGTCTCTGTAAAGAGGACGCGTGATGTAAAGTGGCTATCACATAGGGGGCTTCTTAGCGATGTGATAGCAATAAACGTAAGTGTAAAAAAGAAGGAAAAAACAATTAAAGAAGCAAAAAAAAAAAAATCACATATACATTTTTTTACAAAACACACAAAAAAACTAAAAGCACCCGCCCCCACATACACACGCAAACATGTGTCCAAAACGTGCAAAAACGACGATTGCGCCACACATGTTACATACAGTATCTCCACAAACGTTGCAACAGCTTTTAAAGTGTCGCTAATTTAGGGTGTGGTTGTTTTTTTTGCGATTTTGTGGGCGTGCACAATTTTAAGGCTTGAAATGTTTGGTGTCTATTTACCCAACGTGACCCCATCTTTTATATTTTACAGAAAAATTGGGGTGATAAATGTTTCATAACATAGGGAAACAGGTTTTGTTTTCAAATTTTTCGATACATTTTTTGTTATATGGTAAAAAATAAAACCAGTGGTGATTAAATACCACCAAAAGTAGGCTCTACATGTCCCCAAAAAATGATATAAAAATAATTTCAGTACAGCATTGCATGACTGAATAAATGTCAGTCAAAGTACTGCAGTGCTGAATACTGAGAAATGGCCTGGACAGGAAGGGAGTTTAACACCCTTGTCTTCAAGTGGTTAATAAGATACACAATTCTTGATTTGAGGGTTATAGTTTGTGAACAAGATATAGAATTATCAAATTATCAGATTATCAAGTTTTCTAAAGGCAAATAGGCTGTTGACTTTGCAAGGGAATATTCCCTTTGCAAGGTTACATTTTCCCCTAGCTTAGTAAATGAGGTGTAGCTCTGCTGACTTCCCTCACCCAATCATGTGCAAAGCAAAAACTGTTTTTTAAAAATTATTTTTCTTACATGTGACTTTGTATGCTTTGCAAAGTGAATTTTCACCACATCCTTAAGCTAAGGGGAAATTTCCTTGAAAGTGAAAGGTCATTTGCAAAGTGAACAGCTTGTTTGTCTTAAGTAAATTAATCCCAGAGAGGCAAAAAAACAACACCTTGCTGCCGAACACCATAATAACAGTTAGAACATCATAACAAATGCTTCCTGTTTCTAAAATTCTAAACGATTGCAGTATCCATTGCAGTATGGCAGCAGTGGTAAGTCTCAGCACCCTCCCAGCACACATCTTGTGTAAATAGAAGAGGGTTATTGTGCTGTTGAATGGTCTGCACAAATTGTAGATTAACCTCTCAAAATGCTTCAATTTGAGACTTCCGGTTCCGGCGCCTGATGTAGCGGCAGCAGAGGTTAGAGCTCCCGCGCGGCCAGGGCCATATTTGATATAAAACCCTACTACAGCTTACCGAAATCTCTTGGAGGATCTATTGGCTACTACCCTCTCCATCGCGGCATCATATGGAGACATTTCTATCCAGACGCCGTTACACACCCAGGGGTAAACCCACACCAACACGCGGCAAAAGACCGTTACCCTCCAAGATGGCCGCGGCCTCGGAGAGACCAAGTCTTAGTGTTTCCTCTGATGAAGACATGCCGGCGTTGTCCGAACATAGCCTGATAGCGGCGGAGGTAGCAAAATTGCTGAAGCCCACCATACAAGAGGTGGTACAGAAAGCGGTATCTAAAGGCATACAAGCCTTGCGGCACGATCTGATGAACCAAGCTCAGAAGCTATCAGAAGCAGAACACCGCATCGCACTCTTGGAAGAGGAGTTTACAGGGTCCTCCATACAGATTACCTCGGCTCAACGCCAAATCTAATTCCTGGTGGACCGAGTGGAAGACCTAGAAAACCGCTCCCGGCGGAATAACCTGAGGGTCATAGGCCTCCCGGAAACTTACCACCCCTCTATGCTCCCAACCATTTGTGCACACAACATCCCGGATTTATTGGGCCTCCATGCTCCGTGCAAGGTCGAACGGGCTCACAGGGTGGGTCCTAATAACCCGGACCGGAAAACACCTCGGCCAGTGATAGTTCGGTACCTTGATTACAATGACCAGTCAGAAATCCTCCAAGCTTTCAGAGCCAAAAAAGACCTGCGTCTGGATGACAACCGTCGCCTGATCTTTGCGTAATACTCGGCCGAGGTCACAAAGAAAAGAAAGGCGTTTGCTGGAGCCTGTTCTCTCCTATACCACCGTAAAGTGCGCTTTACACTCGCGTACCCGGCCACCCTCCGCTTTCAATCCGGAGATGTCAGACAACGCACCTTTCAAGATCCGACCGAAGCCATCAAGTTCCTGGAACAGGAAGCCGTCGGAGCTCCGTGCGCAACAGGATCCGGTTCCACGAGACCCACGAAACAGGTTACCCCGGCGAGAAAAACCGTGACCCGCCTCCCGATGACCCCTTCTGTTTCTCCCTGAATCTGGCTGCACACATCGACTCTGCTGGCGATCCCCAGCGTCCACTTACCTGACCGCAACACCACCATGGGCCTCCGTGACAGATGCTTCGGTCACCGGCCACTTTAGATCCTCAACTCCATCTGGATTCTAAAACTTCTCCCGCTGCCCTAACATCATCATCCGGAGATGTCAATGAGTACCCACAATATCACTGGCCCCTTACCTTATCCTATTTTATCTGACTGCTCACATACTGCCACTATCTCCTTTATCGCAAGGCCAACTCCCACATTTGTTTTATTTTTTTCTCTTGCTTTATTATTCCTAAGGAGCCACCTGCTAGTCCCAGTAAACCCCATTCCACTCCGTCGAATGCAGTCCTCCCACTACGCAATGCCAGGATCTGCTTCCCCTCCCCTCCGTAATATATCGGCAAACAGTTGTGGGATACAGCTCTTTACGGCCTTTACAACCGTTGTAATAGGTCCTGGCCTAGCGGAGCCCCCAGTTATGCTCTGTAACGCTCTCTAGGAAGAAAGCGAAGTCAAGTACTGACTGTTCAGGATCCCTGTTAGAGATCCCGTTCTTGTTTTTTTTGTTTTTGTTACTGTTATTTTTGATTAGTTATATGCTCTGCATGCTCTATGACTTCACGGTAGATGGCCACCTTGGTCAAGTATCGCATGATCATTCTCTCCGCACCCTGGCAAGTACTTATTTTCTTCCACCATGGGTACTTCCTCCCATGGACTCTATAATATATCATTTTACTATGTACACCTATTGCAAATGTGTTTTGATATGGTCACTTATCTCTCCAATGTCTCTAAATATGTACCCCCTTTTCATTTTGATTTCTGAAGTAAGATACCATTTTTTACTGATAGTAAGTCACACGGTCTTTACCTACATTGATATTTCTATATGTCTCAGGATATTAATGTGATCTCCTGGAATGTGAATGGTCTGCGCTCCCCTGCCAAACGCATGATGATACTCCGGCATCTCAGCAAATACAAACCAGACATAGTCTTTCTACAAGAGACGCACCACCCTCAGGTAGATGTACACCGTCTGCGCAAATTGTGGGTGGGTGAGGTCCTGAGTTCCCCAGCGGTGGGGAGAAAGGGGGGGTGGCCATTCTATTTAGCAAATCCCTTAAGTACTCTATCAAACACACAGACCCTGATCTCGAGGGTCGGAAACTGCTGGTTAAAGTTCAAATACAGGAGAAGCTCTTCTCATTATACAACTTCTACATCCCAAACGCGCCTACAGCTTCATATTTCCAGGAGATCACATCATGGATTCTTTGTGATGACAACCCTAACAAGCTCTTGGGTGGTGATTTTAACTCGGTAATGGTTACAAGGGAGGACAGGTCGGGTACTTTCCCCACACAGGTGACTCCCACTCATACCCCCCTCACTAACTTGGCCAAAATGGCTGAATCTTTGAAGGTGATTGATGTCTGGAGGGTCCGCAATCCCTTAGACAAGCAATATACTCATTTTTCGGGGGTGCACAGATCCTTCGCCAGATTAGATTACTTTCTGGTGTCGGACCTGATGCTCCCTCTGGTCAGCGAGGTGAGTCTACTACCCATTGTCATATCTGACCACGCCCCCATCATGATTCATCTACACTCTTCCATTCCAAAAGGAGAAGCATTTCTCTGGCACTTCCCCTCTCATCTATACAAAGATGCCTCCTTCAAATCAATGTTGACAGAAGCGTGGCAGGAATATCAGTCCTTTAATAATCAGCACACTGACAACCCAACCCTTTTCTGGGAAACAGCTAAAGTGGTCCAAAGAGGTGCAATTATGTCATATGTTGGGGCTAAAAAGAGACATACTAAAACCCAATTCCTCAAGGCCTGCTTCGGCATGAGGAAAGCCCAATTGGCCTACTCATCCCATCCCTCCCCAGCCAATAGTGTAGCATGGAAAAAAGCCAAACAAAACTTTGAATGGTGGTCAGCCCAGCAACAATCATTTTACCAAGCCAATTTGAAATAATATTTTCACAAATTTTGGAATAAACCGGGGAAAATAATGGCCAACTTAACGAAACCAAGGACCTTTAAATCCCACATATCTTTCCTACGCTCTGAAACAGGAACTCTCCTTACTGACCCCAAGCTCATAAATTCGGCCCTGGAAAAGTTCTATGCTAACTTATACTCTTCATCATCTCCTGATGTCGAGCTAGGGGATGCCTTTTTGGCATCAACTACCCTCCCGAAAATATCGGAAGATGATCTTTCCTACCTAAACTCAGAGATTTCACAAGACGAAATTCTTAATGTCATCAAATCAACAGCGAATGCTAAATCCCCTGGCCCGGACGGATATACATATGAGTTCTATAAACTGCTCCAGACACAAGTGATGCCCACATTATTAGAAGTCTTCAACGGAATATGGAGGGGGGGCACGGAAAGGAGGCATATATCAAAGTAATTCCAAAAAAAGATAGAGACCCTACTTCGCCAGACTCATACCGCCCAATATCCCTCATAAACGCTGACGCCAAAATATTATCCAAAATTGTTGCGGATCGCTTAGCTAAGATTTTGCCGAGCCTCATATCCTCGGCCCAGGTTGGTTTTGTCAAGGTCGCTCGGCGGTGGCCAACATACGTAAATTATTGGCAGTACTTGAATGTGCGAAACAACATCCCAAATCTCCTCTGGCCTTGATTTCCATCGACGCCGAGAAGGCCTTTGACAACATCCAACCATCTTGGCTTCTCAGGGTCCTGGAGTCTATGGGGTTCTCTGGCCCCTTCCGGTCGTTTGTAACTGCACTATATGCCTCCCCCTGCGCTCGGATACTCACCCCAGGCTTCATATCCCCTAGTTTTCCGCTACGGAAAGGTACCAGACAAGGCTGCCCCTTATCACCCCTATTGTTTAATATTTCTGTAGAACCCTTGTCATTACACTTCCAAAATAATCCCCATATCTCAGGTATCCCTGTTAATACACAAAAACTCAAGATTATGCTTTTTGCCGACGACATAGTCCTATTTTCATCCAACCCAAATCAGGACATCCCCCTGATCCAGGCTACCTTCTCCCACTTCCACAAATTCTCTGGCCTGTCCATCAATACATCCAAAACGGAAGTCCTCCCGCTCACTACACAAGCCACTCTTTCCCTCTCAAACCTCAACACCTTCTCGGTTACCAAACAGACTATCAAATACTTAGGCCTCCAGATTGGCAAAACCCCGTCCTCCCTCTACCACTTAAATTATCCCCCCTCATTCATAAAATACAGAAAGAATTGATTCTTTACAAAGACCTTCCCCTGTCTCTATTTCAAAGAATTCACCTTGTCAAAATGATCCCCTTTGCTAGACTTTTATATCCTCTCCAGACACTCCCTATCCTAATTAAGCATAGAGATGTCAAAGCACTTAATTCGGCCTTCCTGACTTTCATATGGCAGGGGAAGAAGTCCAGAATCTCAATCAAAAAACTTAGCTTACCCAAACTAGAAGGGGGTCTGGCCTTTCCAAACATTAGATTATATAACTTGGCCTGCTTTCTTCGACACTCAGTAGATTGGGTCTATTCTTCTTCTCGCTATTCCAATTTCCAACTGGAATCGGGGATGGTCCACCCATGGAAGCTACCTTCTCTTCTTCACTGCCGTTCTCAGCTCTTCCCCCTCCCATCCGTTCCAACATACTCATTCGGGACACCATCATTGCTTGGAGAGAGGTTCACAAACTATTGAAACTAAACCCCTTTTTCACCAAACATTTGCCCCTCAGGGGGAATCCCTCCTTCCCGCAAGGTGAGGACTATGAAGTTTTCGCTAGATGGGAGAAGGCAGGGGTTTCCCATTTCACGATCCTCCTCAACACGTCCCTTAAGAAACCTGTTACCTTTGCTGAATTTCAATCGACATACGAGATCCCGAAAAAAGATTTCCTTCACTTCATGCAGTCAATAGCGCACATTAAAAAATTGAACCCTAACTTCTCTCAACTGCTATCTACAACACCAATGGATCTCATTTTCACACCCCACACAAACTCAATCTCATCTCTATACCCACACATTAGACAGGCTGCTTTACCCCCTCTTTCCACTTCTAATTTAGTTAAATGGGAACAGGATATTATGGTGGAGGGCATTGTGGACAAAATACTACAGGGCTACTCC